TATATATATATTTATATTTATTATTATTTTTATTGTCTGGTCCAGAACAGACTGCGCTGGTGTGAACAGAGTCCAGAAATACCATAGGAATACATTGGGATGCTTTTTTGGTCCGGGAACAAACAGTTCTGGTCTAGACATGATCCAGACATGGTGTGAACAAGCCCTTACTCCACTGTATTCATTCCTGGGGCATCAGCAAAAGGCATCCTTACAGTTAGGTTTTTCAGCAAGCAGCAGTTTCTAGCCAAACCTGACTTCTGCCAGTATTAAAAGGACTCTTGCTCACTGTGGAAGTAGTAATCTTTCTCCAGAGGTCTACACACCCCCTGCTGAGTCAGACCTATAAGTCAATACAGATAGCAGAGCTTATGCCCCATGCTGATTGTAGAACTCTGGACCTTTTTGTACCTATCTATTCTTCTTCCCCCCTTTTTTTTTTTTTTTCATCACCTCGGAAAGATACGATCTCACTTCCTGTAGAGTTGACGGGAAGTAAAATTAAATCTGAATGGAGACCCAGATGGTGAAAAAATGATATCGCTTAAACCCTGCCCTATGTTATTCAAAATTTGGGGGAGACATTTTGGCTTTAAATCTACTTTAATTTAATGTTTTTTTTTTTTTTGTTTTTTGATTTGATTGTACTAAAGGTCAGCGTTCATGTTGAAGATAAATTCTATAGACTTCTTCTTAGATGTGTCATCAACAGATGTGTATATATTTACAATAATACAACAATGATGGCTGGTAAGGGTTAATGTGTCTGTGGCCAGACTATGGACGTTAAACTATTTCCGTATACTTAACAAGCAGAAAATTGAGCTTTAAAAGAGAATTATGGGGTGACCTTTTATCCCTTTAGTTCTCTTTAGGGTCACAGGAGGACATGTACTAACATCCTCCCGTGACCCAAAGCTCAGTATATAGCACGCTATCGCTCGCTATATACAGAGAGCGCCGCAGCCGGGACTGATCCCGACAATACTGTCAAGATCCACCCAGCTGCGTGAGTGACATCGGGCTCTGCCTATATCTAGAGGCAGAGCCAGCTGTGCCCATCCGTTCCTCCAGTCAGTGCTGGAGGGGGGGGGGATCCCTGTGGGGAAAGGTTACTTACAGTTACCGCTCTCTGCAGGGGGATGATCATGAAGGGTGCGAGCGATCGTATGTGTTCACTCACTTCCCGATCTATAGACCGTTTCATTGTCACACGTGGGCTGTAACTATAAGGATTAGGCTAGGTTCACACCCGCACTACACGACACCGTTTCGCTTGAGCTGCGCACAGCCATTGACTCGCGGCCCCATTGATTTCAATGAAGTGACATCGTGCTGAAATCATTGAACTTATTAAAACTGGAGCAGACAGAATCTAGAGCAGCTGTCCATGGCAACCAATCAGCTTCTAGTTTTAATGCTTAAAGTAGTGTTAAACTCAAACTTGTTTATAATAATGAATCCAGATAAAACGAATATTCATTGCTCAGCAAAATATCTTTACATTTTTGCCTAAACACTTAGTCATTATTATGTTTACAAACCGCTCCAACTCTGTCAGCTCAGCTTCCCTGAACCTCCTGTCCGGTACAAGATCACAAGGGAGAGCAGAGTCTCCAGCAACTGTCCATCTACTAGCCTTGTGAAGGAAGGATGGAGAGCTGGGAAGTGTCTTGCTTTGCTGTGCCTGTGTTTGTGCAGAAACACACAGCTTGCCAGCACACATAAGGGTGGTTCCATAGGACACTGCAAGGGAAGAAGCCAACCTAAAACATGATATGAGGAGCAGTGCTAAGGGAATCGGCTGATTCTGGAGGAAACTAAAACTTTTAAACGTCAGGACCAGCATCCATTGTAAGTGATTTATTAAAGGAGAACTATGAGGCGAGTGCTTTCCACTCACCTCATAGTTCTAGCCGACCTGTGACAATGAGACTGTCACAGGTCGGCTCAGTAGATCGGGAGGTGAGCCAACACATACCGGCGTTCGCTCACCTCTCGATCCTGTCACGGCTCTCTACAGTGACAGAGGAGGGGCCGGATTCCCCGCTCCGATCAGCCAGCGCTGACTGGCGGAACGGACGGGGGAGGGGCGGGTACATCTGGCTCTGCCTCTAGATAGGCAGAGCCAACTGTCACTCACACAGCTGGGCGGATCCAGACATAATTGTCGGGATCCGCTTCAGCTGCGGCGTCTCAGTATACCGCAAGCTGTAGCTCCCTATATACTGAGCTTAGGGTAACGGGAGGACGCTAGTTTGTGTCCTCCCGTTACCCTAAGGAGAACTATAGGGAAAAGCCTTAACCCCATAGTTCTCCTTTTTAAACCTTTTGGAATTGTTTAAAAACCTTATAACTTTAATGTCCCTTTACTAAACAAACTGAAGAGAGAAGCTGATTGGTTACTATGGGAACAGCTCCGGATTCTGTCTGCTCCAGTTCTGGTAAATGCCCCTAATTGTATTTTTTAATATTTAGTACTGAAGAGAATAAATCAAATAGGTACATTGCCAATATACATTCCATTCCACATTTTCGCGTTTAGATAGAACTTTGTAAACGTAAAGGAAGTCGAAGCACATGGCCATGGATACAAGATGTTAATGTTTATACGTCTCATACCAGTTTACATTTCATAAAGGTCAACCATTCCAGGAATGGACTTGCTGGAGGATGCAGCCATTTAATGTAACACAAAGCAGGGTTGGCATTGCTTACTTGGAGCCTGATATGCTGGTTAGAACTGCATTTCTTCCCCCCCTTTCCTTTTTTCTTTTTCTTTTTACTTAAGTCTTATTGTAAGTTTTTTCCTTTTGTTAATTGGGCCCTCTGAGGCCATAAGTTAATAGCGACTAGGTACATGGTCGGTCAGTCTGGCATTAGTGATAAGAATGAATTGTTATGAATCGCTGATGCCGGATTGAATGAGCTATACCGGGATACCTAATCATGCAATGTAGTATGTCAATTTTAATGACCTTTTATAAAAATAAATAAAACCGAATAATTAAAAAAAAAAAAGAACTGCATTTCCTTAGCTATAAAGAACACTGTGAAGGTTTTTTTTTTTTTTTGCGGGTGGGGGGGTGT